CCAGGAGCACCCTCCCCAAACCCGACCAGGCCGCCTTCATCGCCGCAATCCACTGCCTCAACACCCTCCCGGCCAAGACCCCGCCCACCCACGCCCCCGGCGCCCGCTTCCTCTACGACGACTTCATCGTCACCCACATCGACCAAACCCCCTTCGTCCACGCCTCAGGCCTCTTCCTCCCCTTCCACCGCCACCTCGTCCACCTCTTCGCCACCGCCCTCCGCACGCAGTGCGCCTACCAAGGCCCGCTTCCTTACTGGGACTGGACGCTGTCCTACACCGACCCGCGCAAGGCCGCCGTCTTCGACGGCAGCGAGCACTCGCTCAGCGGCAACGGCGCCTTCATCCCGGGCCGCAACGCCACCGAGATTGCGCTGCCCGGCGGGTTCACCTGGAGTATCCCGCCCGCGACGGGCGGCGGGTGCGTGGCGCACGGGCCGTTCGCCCAGGGCCGGTTTGAGGTGCGCCTCGGCCCCGTCGGGTACGAGCCCAAGGGTCCCCAGGGCGGGTTGGGGTATAACCCAAGGTGTTTGACGAGGGATCTGAGTCCTGCATATAGCAGGGGGACGAGCCCGACGGCGGTTACTAAGCTGGTGGAGGGGTGCGGGGATCTGGCGTGTTTCGTGCACGAGATGGATATGCCTGGGGGTGTGCCCGGCGGTGTCCATGCTTCGGGCCACTGGCAGGTTGGGTTGGATGCGCTGGATGTGTTTGCCAGCCCGAGCGATCCCGTGTTTTGGCTGCACCATGCGCAGATTGATCGCATGTGGACGATGTGGCAGGGGCTGGGTTTGAAGGAGAGGACGTACCAGGTTACGGGGACGGCGACGGCCGCGAATGGTGAGTTATTCCGACGAGTGACGGGTGTTTGGGCTTGCTGATGCTGACTTGCTGCAGATCCGCCGAGTGACAATGTCACGCTGGAGAGCGTGATGGACTTTGGGATCCTTGGGGACGCCAGGACTATCAGGCAGGCTTCGTCGTCCGTCGACGGAGAGTACTGCTACGTTTATGAGTAGGGGGCATTTCGGTTTGCTGACTGGACTCGGCTTGGAGCGGGAAGGGCATTCATTCATCCCAGTCAGGGGCAGGCGCTCGGCGTTCGTGGATCTTGCTACAGAAGACTGGCGTTTTCATTTTCGGCTGAAACTGCCGCTGGTTTCTAGCTTGCCGTTGATCTCAGGGTCATCTCGGCCTTAGCTAATACCAAAATAAAATCATGGTTCATCCTACTTAACTCGGAGCAGTGTGTTCTCCGCCTGATCTCCCTCAGCGCCCTCCTTCTTCAAGTGCTCCATGGAAATGACTTTACAGTACCTAATGATGCCGGAGACGAATTCCCCATAGCTCCCTCGCTCTCAAGTGACACTTCAGACCAGGAAAAACTCCCTCAACTCCCGCCTCCCCACAACCTCCCCGTCCATAACCCCATCACAATACGCCTCCCCCACAAACTCAAACACCTCCTCCCCTCCCAACTTCGACTCGCTCGGCCTCAAAACAAACGGCACCCTCCCCCCACAAAACACAACCACCACATCCCCCCCCTGTACCTCCGCCGGCCCCATCCCAAGATACCCCTCCCCCGCCAAAAAAGGCCTCTTCCCCACCACATACTTCATACTCTCCCTATAATCCCCGCCCACCTCCCCCCTGGAAACCTTCCCCTCCCAATCCCACTCCTCAAACCTCTTACTCTGCTCCGCCGCATCCCCGACCCGTTCACACGCCACAAAAAATTTGAGCATCTCCCACAACTGCTTATGCCCCACCCCGGCGTCCTCGGCCGTAGCGCGCTGCATTCCCCCCTGCGCGGCAGTCCAGTAGAGGTCGCCGGTGGGGGTTCGCCAGCGCGCCTCAGCGCGGCGTTCTTCGGTCGGGTAGAAGGATGTGTGGGGGTGAGGTTTGGACATTGCGAGGGAGAACAAGGTGTCGATTTGCGTCAGGAAGGCGAGGAACCGCCCGGCGTGCCAGGACATGTCTTCCCATGCGCCGTCGTCGCCTGGGGTGACTGTTTCGATGGTGTCGACTAGATACCCCGCCAGACCCAAGACAGGCGGGTCCATGTCAACTGGGCTGGGGACGGGTTTAACCTCGACGGGGTGTCCGCACGCGGCGAATAGGTGCGGGCTGGCGGCCTCGTTGACGGTGTAAAAGGACGGGCGGAGGCTGCCGCGCCAGTCGGGGACCCACGAGGGGAGGTAAGGAGCGAGCGCGGGGGACTTGGGGTGCTGAGAGGCGCAGAGGATGTCGATGCGGCCTGTGGAGGGGTTGGTGATCATGGCGCGGGCGGCCTGAGTCAGAATGCGGGCGTCGGCGGCGGGGGAGTCGGGATGGGTGTAGTCTGGGGTGATGCCGAGGCTGGAAGTGTCGACGGCCAGGCCGAGGAGGGAGTAGATGCGGTCGCGGTGGAGTTTGGCTTGGGTGTCGTGGTCGACGTAGAGCTTGCGCAGAAGGGCGTGGAGCTGGTCACCCGTGGCGTGCGGCTCGCCGCGGTCGAATTTGCGGCGGCGCTGGCGGCAGCTGAAGAGACGGCCTGTTGGCTCGTCGGAGACCTCGCCGAGGAGGGGGAGCGGCACGTTGGCAGGGGTGTAGACGGAGTGGAAGAGGTTGCTGATGGAGTACTGCAGGATCTGGATGGCGATCATGACGAGCTCGGCCTGGACCGTCTTGGTGCCGCAGACGAAGAGGGTGTTGGTGCAGAGACAGAACTCTTGGATTGTCCAGGCGCGTGTGAACCACGCCCGCGCAAACCAGTGCCTGAGGGTCTCTGCCGTGATGAGGGGAGCGAACGTTTTGGCCCCTGCCTCCAACAATGCGTGGAACTCGACAGTCTTTGGGTCTGAAGGCTCGACATTGTTTAGGATACGGGCCAAAAGGGGCCATCGCTCCTTGGTGTAGTAGCTCTCAATGCCGTAGTCTCGCGCAGCCTGCCCAACAGTCTGCCAGGCATCCATCAGGGCGTCTGAGCCGTCGGCCACCGGACCCAGCCACACGAG